GGTGTAAAAAATGACAGCTTTGTTCTTATTGGCTAGAGTTCATTGATAGAGTCCCTTCAACTGGCTTGAGAGCTCAGCTAAGACCATAAAAAAATTCTCAGCCGGACTTAAAAAAAACTCTGTTACGATAACAACGTTTACTTAAGAAGCATACCTGTATTTCACCGGCTGTGTGAAGCAAGCCAGCGTGTTCCTCTTCCTTGTCTTTCAAAGCCAGAGCATGCATCTGAGCTAAAAAAACGCAAAAAAAATATCCTGTTAACATCAAACGAGGACATACCTCTGCATGAAAAGCAAAGTCCTTGCTCGCGAGTCAACTTTTTTCGCGTAGAAGAAAGCGATAGCCAAGACAACAGAACAGTGAAAACATCAATGAGCGATGCACGCCAAAACAGAATTATGCATTGAATTAACGAGTTTAAATCTTTGGCAACTTAACATGTCTTTTACAAATGTTAAATTTGCATACTAAGGCGAAGGAAGGTTTTAAAATTGCGGAAGTCACCGCAGACATGATCGCCCATGTTTCAACAAGACATAATTCCTACGGTTTTTTTTTTTTTTTAATGCTAAAAAAAGGGAAAACAAAGGCAATTGTGATACTTGCTAGTCATTTATAGTGGTATTAACCAATCAAGCGGACGGATTTCGTCACGCGAACAAGGACTTATACCACGTGCATGACTCATGATAACCAGTCACAGTGGGCGAGGATAGATCTCAATCTCGTATTTGATTGGATATCAAGAAAAAACAAATTTTCTGCAGCAACACTCGAAAATAAAGAATATTCAGGAAAGCATATATTGCCACTCATTTATCGCTAATGGCAGCCAAGCTGAGAAAAAAAACAACAACAACAACATTTGTTTAAGACCTGAAAAAGATTGAAGTCTTTTGAAAGAAAGAGAGCACTCCGCAAGGAAAAAAATACTGTTAAAATTCTCAAAAGTGTTGAAGTTTTTAAAACGATCAATTAAAGAAATATATTGAGGTAGTCTTTGCTTTTCATCGCAAAAACTTGATATTCTTATCTTGTGTAGATCTTGCATCAGCTGGAATCCTGTTATTTACCACTGTTACGTTCAGGATAGCCGTCCCATTTTGGCCCAGAGTTATGGAGAGTCGCTTCTTTTAACGATTAACAAAAAGCATACAGTAGACGAATAAACGCTAACGGAAAATGAAGTTTGATCAAAACATTTACCTTGGGGAATTTGCTTACCGCTTCCGAATAACTTAAACGAATGAACGCTCACACGCTCACACGCTCAAAACAGAGCGAACGCAAACAAAAACAAAAATTACAATAAATACACACAAATTTGTCGCCTGAGCGAACAAACTTCTATCTTCCAGCCCTTGATTCATCAGTGCCACGTGGCTGGAGAGAATGCCCGAACTTCGACCAAAGCTTTTTTCATTTTGGAATTAATGTTTCCAGCTCTTCAGAGGTCCGTGTTATGTCTCTGATGAGTCCTTTGCAAGAAATGATCACCTGGTATAAAATCTGTCATTCTGGAAGGGAAAAGAATGTGGCAACCTCCAAAACAAAGCAGCTTTAACCAATCAAGCTTGACCCTTCTTTGTTTTAGCATAGCTTGCCATCGAGTATCACAGATTTTGTACCACGTGACCAGTTCGTGCAAAGGGACCACTGGCTTGCTTTCGGTTTCGAATTTTTGCGTCAAAATTCACATATCAATCTTAAACGCTCTTAACAGTGATACCATTAGAGTTACGATATTGAGTTGTATTTCGGCAATCTGCAGAACGAGGGAGGAATTAAGCGCGAGGAAAAATAACACAAGAGGTCGTACAACTTTCAATAAGATTATGTCCGTTACCTTTTGCCTTGAGTTTAGCTATTTCTTCATTCAGGGAGTCAACAGCTTCTTCTAAAATCCTCTTCTTGGATTCCATCTCTTTCATGTTTGTCTCGAGGGTCTTCATTTTTGCTTCATACTAAATAAAAAATCCTCTTTAGTAAGAAATGCTTGACAAAAAGGAAAGAAAAACAGCCATACGGTGGAAAGAATCTACCGAAAATAAAGTGGTTTGATGTACTACCCAATTCTCAAAGCGGACGCCATAAGAAATCTCTGGAAAACATTAAGTAGAATCTATATTTCAATCAGTACAGTTTACCTGTGATATAAGGAGTGATGACTGGTTCAGCTCTTTGTTCTTTCCATCAAGAGACGACTTCAAATCACTTTCCGTTGATTCCAAGTTACTGGATCGCTAGAAAACGCGACAAAAAACAAAAACCATAAGCAGAGCAATTGATTCCTGCCTCCCTCCCTAAATATCTTCGTTTTAGACCGCAAAGCCAAATGAAAAAGCAGTGACAAGATCTCAACAGCTTGGTAAGTTCCAAAGAGCATGTAGCGTGTGAATATGTACGAAAAGTAAACCACAACGCGAATACTTTTCTTCACCACAAGAAGGGAAGGAAAGAAGGATGTTCCTATGCTTTGAAGTGAAGTCGTGCATAGCAATGCTTCTTGTATATTTTCTCGTGGATT